TCTCTCTCTCTCTCTCTCTCTCTCTCTCTCTCTCTCTCTCTCTCTCTCTCTCTCTCTCTCTCTCAAAAACCGACGGAAGGCGTTCGGTGATGGGTGAACAAGTAACCCTTTTGTTTCCAGGCTTTGCGTCTAGAAGCACTAGCGTGTGGACCCCAGCGACCATTAAGCCAGCCAAGTGAATGGCTCTCTTAAATTAGCAACAAATCTCTTCACCTGATCTTCTGCGACTCGAACAAATAAATATAAATCAAGGCCTCAGCCTTATTAAAAAATAAATCGATTTGTAGAAGATAAAATATACTAGGCATATTCACCCCTTAAACAGTGCCTGTCCTTAATTTTTAACCATCTGGAGGATCTGTCAGAATTCTTTTCTCAAATCTTTAACTCTGGAGTGGACAGAGATTCTAAATTCTCGGAACGCTGTGTCCACAACCCACAAACACACAAAATGTTCTCACTTTTATGGTAAGACAAACGCAGCCAAGTTAATGGGACTCATTTTCCAGGACAAGAGGCTAATGTAAAATAACAACTCGTTAATATATTTAAGCTAATGTAGTCTTACATAGTAAGCCTTTAGAACACGGTTTATTTTTAACTTTGTGTTGCCATTTTCGATTATTTAAGGAGCTAGAAAGTGGAGATTTTAAAATCATGTAGCCTGTGGATTTTAATTCATCCTATTATAGCCCCAAGTTTGAGGGAATGGGTAGCCCTGGAGCTTTTCACTAGACAGGAAGAGTCTGAGATGGGCCTTCGCTTAGGCAAATGGGCACACAGGAAATTACCCTTGGCAGAAGACAGCTATGATGTAAATGTTTGGTGGCGACTTTGTGGATCAATAAAAACATTTATGCCACATGTTATAAATAATGGCTATTGACTAATGTTTGTGTTTTTAATATATTTAGTCCATTAAAAAATGCCAATCTGTTGTTTCACTGACCTAGATGAACTAAACTAGATGTTGCAAACATTAACAAACAGTGATTTCTGACCTTTATCGGAGTAAGGCAGAGAATGCGATCTATAGGTGTACTTGGCTCGTCCGAAGTCCTTTTCACTCAAATTGAAGCTGTACATTAACAAATAATCTGGGGCAGACTGGATGCCTAAGGTCCACTCATCTACCATTTTAGCACTGATGTCTGAATAGTATTTTTGACTATACAAGTTTTGCATTGTGTATTGGTAACAGGGTAATACATATAGAGAGTCTTAACTTTTCTAAGAATTGTGGTTCCTCAAAGACCATCTCAGGCTTGTGCACTTCCTGTGTCCTGTGTGTGTGTGTGTGTGTGTGTGTGTGTGTGTGTGTGTATGTGTGTGTCTCCATTTTGGGTTATGGTAATCCCATACGTTGTTATTAGTTTAGAAAAAAATCAATCCTTAGCTCTTAAAACAAAATTACTTCACAGGGTATTTAAACATTATCTAGCGACACTTTCAAAACATACCCTTCCTGAAGAAATCACAGAGTTGGACCACAGGTTTAGTATAACCGAATCCAAAATTTAACCATCGAGATGTGTACTTGAATCTAGCCCTGATTTCAACACCAAAACCTAAAAATTAAACACCACTGGCCAAAGATGAAGGTTTATGTCCAACTTGATTACAGATTTAATTCAAGTTATTCTGGCAAATTAAAGCCTTTTTCTTTCCATTTTAAGATTCCCTCAGTCCTTTATTCTCCACCCCATCTCTTCCACTCCCCAGATTCTTCCAGGCAACTTCTGAGCAGACTACTATTGTCACACTGGCTTTTGCTTTGTTTGACAAGGGGTGGGGGGGACAATCAAGAGGCATCAGAAGACACACAGTTAATAGAAAACTGAAAGAAAGATAATTAGCTACCAGCTACTCTCCACCCTCACGAAACTGAAAAGTTTGGTTCTGTTTACAGAGCTGAAATGTTTCGTCTCGATTATTTTTAATTTAATGCTTTCGAGAACTTCACACACGAGTATTGTTGTATTTACATAATATCCATCCTTACGTTCCACCCCTCCAACTCCTCCTGTGCCCTCTAGTCCCTTTCAAATTCCTGACCTATATTTCTTATCAAGGTAATGTGTCCATAGTGTCCCTGTTTTCCTAACAGTGTCTACTACTTTTCCGTGATTAGACCAGTGAACTCTTTCAGTGCACACTTGTAATTTTACGTTTCATTGGGTGTCTACCCAGAGACATGAGAGACGGAGCAGATGTCTGAGTAAAAGGGCAGAATTGAGGGGTGGGCTAAACATGAGGTTAGTGTAAAGAAGGTAATTAAAGCGTGTCATCCTACCTGCAATAGTAACCGCCACCACCCCTCCATGGGCGCCCAAATCAGCTCAGCACTACACGTAACACATCATTAGCAAGGAGGTAGAAAGATCCTGCCAGGAGACTTGGTTTTTTTTTTTTTATTTTGTATCTGCAAAGAGCGTAAGAGGAGGTACCACAGAAAATCAAGGTGGTCTTTATTTGTGACTCTTCTGATTTAGGGGTGTATTACTAAGGGCCAGAAATCAGTTTTGCCTCCTTTCCTTTTTTTTTTTTTTTTTTTTTTTCATGATCATTTCACCAGGTAGCTCCGGCTCTGCTTTCCGAATGGTATGATGATAACGTGTCATCATGCCCCTTAGACAGAGTTTCTTGAGTTTTAATTTACTTTGGGACAAGTCAAAGCTTTTCTGAATCTACACAAGACCACAGACTTGGGCGTCCTTGGAAGTTCCCGAGACCATGAGAAGAAATAGGAAGGGAAATCTTAAAATAGGAATTCTATGTAAAAATTAGCTTAACTTATGGGGAAGGGAACTTAATTTAGATGTAATGAGAAACATATTAGCTACAGAACAAGACAATAGGGAAACATTTGTATCTGCCTGGAGCCCTTAAGCAGTGGTCCTCCCCAAGGCAGTGGGCAGGGGACCCACTCCCTTCTAGAGAATGCGGCTTGATTAATGAAACACTGACACAAACATTAGAAGATTGTCACTCCTTCCACCTACAGATAAGTGTTCCTAGTTGTTAAAGGAACACTAAGGAAAAAAAGCAAACAAACAAAATAACGAGAAAAAGCCCAAAACAAAACAAACAAACAACAACAACAAAAAAAAAACCTGCTACCCTTTTCCCCTGCGTACAAAGTCCAACTCAGGTTTCCTTGGAGTCCTTCTAGCACTATCTAGCTCTGGATGACTGTCATCAAAAAGAGCCGCGCAGTGTTCTTTTGGTCAGACATTTGATGTTTTACATTGTTCTGAAGTAACCTTGAACCAAAATAAAGTGTCAAGGGGAAAAATGATTTTGTATACATTTCAAGTCCTTGGTAGAGGGAAGCATGGGGTAGAGAGAGTGAGGGAGGAAAAACCTGATGATATTCCCTGCGGGATA